TTACTTCAGATAAGAAGTAGAGCTATTTTAAGAAAAATGATTTATTGATATGAGTAAATGGAAGATTATAAGACTTAACAGATCCTCTCCTCATAGGCCTAATTTGTCTAATAAAAAAACAGTTTAATAGAAAATTTTGATCAGAAGTCTTCCTGTTTTGGCAAAGAAAGATGCAGAAATTTTTCAAAGTGATTTTTGATCATGAAAATAGGAGTTAATAAGCATTAGTGAATATACCCACTAACGGCAAAAAACAAAAATTTGGTGCAGTTGAAAAATACATCACAATTTAAAGGACTCTAATGACATCTACCCATTTAAATTCAACTTTTCACTAATTTTGAAGCACTGCATCAAATACTTTATGCTACAATATTTAAATACTATATTTTTCACTAATTAGTTATGAGACCTAGTGGTCAAAACATCATATTAAATCAAGGTGAGGGCACTCAGGAATCAGTTTCTCTGATCTAGGAACGACATATTTACACAACCTGTAGCATCTGGAAATCCTTTCCACTGGGTTGTTTGTGTTCCTGTTTAACATAATGCTTGTAATCTCATCCTAATGTGGGGTGGCACTGTGAGCCCTTGAAGATGATGTCTTATTCACACCTTAGTTGGCAATCTTGGCAGAGGTTCTGCTGGATTTGGGGCAGCTTTGTGGAGCTACCAGACCTGTGGCTGAGGTGGATGGGGTGCTGGTGAGTGGGATCTGACCATACCCCACCAGAGCTGTACCCTTCTTACACAAATTATATATTGCAGTCATATATTATCATTTCATACACTTGTTTTTTAAAAAGAATGTAGTTATTTTGTTGAACTAAACCCATGCAAATCCCATCCTTTTGAGAAAGTATGCAAGAGACAGTATCTGTTTTAAAATATTTCACAGAATGGATTGGGTTGGAAGGGGGATCTAAAGGTCATCTAAGTTTTGTAGACCTTCCCCTCCAGGCTGCTCAAAATCCCATCAACATGGCCTTTTTTTACTACTAAGTTGAGAGAAAATACTGTGTATTTGGAACTTGCTTTCCTTGCTAACTGTAAACACAAAAGAAGAGATGGGGAATTTTGTGCTGTATCTCCTGAGGGTTTGTCTGCCCATGTTTACAACTGGTGTGTCACACCAACACAATGTTCACCCTCATCTTTCCTCTAATGGTCTCTGTACCACTGTCCATGTTCCTGCTTGGCTTCATGGCGTGTTTCAGGACAAGGATTTCCTCTTACAGACATGAAACATCTCTGGGCTCTTAGTTCTAAGGAGAAGCTGCTGTAAGTAAAAATGGATGCAAATGTAGCTGGTTCTGCAAAACAGCACTTGTGTTTTGAAATGAAGTGGCGTTGTGTGCTGTTCCAAACTCTTGCAATCACTTTGAGTATTTGTGCAACTGGGATTTTCTAGCAAAGTTGAAGTGGAATGGAATTTTTTGAGCAGGAATATCAAATCATAGAATACACCTTCAGCTGAAAAGAAAATAGCATTTTTGAGGGTTTGGGGAGATTTTTGTCTTAACAATAATAGCCTTTACATGTGCTATAGCTGACATATGGCCAGAAGCCTTGGGTGCCACCAAAGGTTTTATTAATCCATTGGAGCAATTGATAGGTGATACAGATCAAACCATCCCTTAAGATTTGAAGGTCTGAGCATGGGTAACAAAGAGGAGTTGCACTGCTGCAGATTGCTGCAGATGTGACCCATTGTGGGGCGCCCTGTGTCATTGGAAATGCATAGATGCATTGAAGCTCTCTTGGATTGTTCACTCCTCAGAATACTAAATGCTTCTCTAAAGTATTTCAGAATCTGAGCTATAAAGTAATTTGAATTCAGAAAGGAAGATAATAAAATAATAGATAGAAAAAAACTCTGTATAGTATAGACTGTTTGAAAGAGCATGAAAGTCTTTATCAAATACCTTTTACAGTAGAATTCATTTGTGTTACCACAGGGAGCAATTGTGATCCTCAAATCAAGACAGCCGAAAAATCTGAAAAGGTTTCTCCTCCTCCTCCTCAGATCCACATTATTTTGATGCTAAATCTTGCCCTGGATTTATCATTGCTACTCTTTGGTTTATTTGTCTGCTTGTCTCCCTGATCATTCCTGTTTATTACTTCTCCTTTTTTCCTCCACTGTTTCCTTTTCAACTGAGTCCAGATACCAAGGGAAAGTCCTGTGCAGATTACCTGCAGAAATACTGGGGAAATTTTTGTCCAGCATTAACTCTCAACATGTTCCTGGCCAGTTTCCCTGCTTGGCCTTGCACCTCGTGCTCAAAATGAAATTTTGTCAGGAAAGTCTCAAAAGATTTGATAAATCTCCGTCTTTTTATTTGCGTTGAGTTTGTGGTTTTGATGTGATAGCTTCAGGGCAGCCAATGACAGGCTTGAATGTCTGACCTCTCAGTCTTGCAAATAAACTGTTACTTAGACATTTAAAAAGAAAGGCTTGAAAAGAGCAAACCCAAAATTCAAGTTACAAATACAATGAAAATATGTTGATTCAAATTGTTGACAATTTTCTGTCCTTTATAGCCTATCCATCCATTCATGGAGGCTACTGCCCAACAGTTAATGAATTAGGAGTAGCAAACACTGAACTGAATTATATTCTTACCTTTTTAGCATCCTGTCTCAGAGTAAAACCTTATCCATGGGAGGCAAACCAGAACTGTAGATCACAGCAGAGCTGTTCAGCTGCAAAGACAAACCAGCAGATGGACAAGCTTAGAAATATAGTCCAGCTTTAGAATGGGCTTTGAGTTTACATTGAATTTACCATTTGAGGCATCAAAATTGTATTACAAGGTTTCTTTAGAACTGAAAACAGGTGCTAAATAGAAAATAGATGCTAAAATTAGTAGCATCTTGTTAATTTTGCACATCAAACAAACCCAGCCCCTTAAAATGAAGAAGGATGTTTTTGCTTGGCACTTCTATGCTGGATTTGGTGAACTCAGACCTTCCCAGACCATTCCCCAGACCATGTGAATTAGCTGGAAGACTACTGAGATAAAGTTCCTGCTATTTATGAGTTTGAGTTTGAGAAAGAAGAGAAAGTACATGTTTCCATTCCTGAGAGGAAAACAAACCCTCATGGGTTTTAAGACCCAGTGGAAAAGGCTGTGGAGGTTTTTGAATACCACTGAGGAACAGGCTCCCATCTCTCCATGTGCATTGCTCAGAATGTCTGTCTGCCTACTCTGTCTTTACTATTTCTCAAGTAGCACCCTACTCCCTCCAAAGTCTGAAATGCTACAAAGCAGTAATCCTCCATGAGGGGAATGTCTGCCATTCCATACAACTGTGTTAAAGTAAATGTAAACACACACATCAAGTTGGGGGAATTATGTTCTGCAGCTGAATTGGTGCGTTTCCAGCAAATACTGAGAATATACAGCTGGAGGATGAAGGACATAAGCCTGTTTGTTAATGCAGTTTCACAGTGAAGGTGTTAGAATTAGCAGAGAAAGGAAGGCAAAGAGAAAATTGCGGAAAAGCTTCATCTATCTCCTTATTGCCTCCTGAGATAGATTGTTCAGAGCTAAAGGAACACTAGACATGAACCAAATCTCCTGCTGTCCTATATAGCTTTTACAATCTCCTTTTTAATAACCCAAACTACAGGGTAGTCTGACTATTAGACAAGCCGTTCTTTTGAATTCTCTCCACAATGTGTATAGACATGATAAAAAAACCAATTCTCATTAAAGCTGCCAATGCTGTTTCAAAAGCAGGTGGTTTAAAATGTTTCCTATACAAAGCAAAACACATTTCTTGTGCATTACACACTGCTTAATAGGGAGTGTAAGATTACACTGCTATGTTGTGTATAACACTGCATCTTAAATAATAGGATATTGTAAGTCATGTTGGAAATATGTTTCACATGAATATGGAAGATATAATGATATGCACTGAGCAATTTTCAGAAGTGCCGGAACGCTTCCTTGTGTGACAACCTCTGAGCTAAAGTAGTTGAAAATAGCATCTGGAATTTCAGATTATACAGTCTCTGATCCTAACTGATTATTTTTTCTAGGATATTGTTCAGTCAGCATGTGGATATATGAAAGATAAGACTCCTCCTCTCCTGTGGGAATGCTTACTGTTTATGTTATAAATTAAGGATGGTAGGAATTGAGTGCTCTCAACATGCATTTTCATTTTTCACTGAAGTCAGTCTTTTATGAGGAATGCAGGATTGATCTGACGTAAAAAATGTGATATACAGCTCCTTCCCTAAGCTGCCTCTTCATATCCTTTTCCAAACCAGTTCTGAAAAAAAACCCCAGCAACCTACAGAGGTCCAGTTGTACTTCTGTGCAAATTCAGTGTTTGCCATTCACTTCAGCAGAAGCAGATTTTGGTCCTTCATTGATGTGAACATTTCAGTCTATCTGTGAATTTCATCAGCAATCAGAAAACCACATAAAGCATGGTAATTCAGGTTATTATGACTAAGCACAGTAATTCATATTATATTTTAAAATTAACAAAACATATTTGTATGTATTATAAACTGCTTTTAATGAAATAAAATTCATTTGGGTCTTCAGTGTGCCTGCCTATCTTAATTTCTCCATCTTCTGCTTTAAGGAATAATTACTTCCTTTCTGATAAATCAACTTCTGCAAACAAGGTGAAAATTGATTATGAGCTGATTAAGTTAAATAAAATATTAACATAAACACTTACGTAATGTAGCTTGGCAGTGAATTACTTATTCTTGAACAGGTGAATTTTAAAAATGTATTTTCTGTGAGTCCTGTTTCTCCTGAGAAGTCTCTGTAAACTCAACAGGTGACATTACAGATAATCCAGTAATCAGAGTTTCACCTGCCATTTCATGGACCCATAAACTACTGCAGTTTAACTTACATGACTCTAGCCAATATTAATGTATGTAAATAACGTGTTAAACACCTAGTTATCACTCTGCCCATATTAGCTCTTTCATACTAATGATTTATTTTCATTTTCTCCAGGATATAGACCTGCGGCTAACTGGATTTGATTTATAAGAGGGGATTCTGCAGTAAATGGCTGCTCTCTTCATATTGCTGCTATGGAAAACAGAATTGTCAATAGGATGTAGTCTGATAAATAGTGCTGAGTGAAGATGCAGCTTCAATAAGTGTGAAATCAATGGAAGATACTTACCGCGTGAAAAGCCTTTTGAGATTTTTCTGACAGGCGTCTATTTAGGAAACTTGATCTGTTTCCTCCGGTCGCCCTGTTTTTACACCAGTGGATACAAATCAGATTGCTTCACTGTAGTTACACAACTAATGTGGGACCATGGCCTTCCCAAGATCCATGTGGCTGGACTGTGTATGGAGAGCGACGGCGCTCCGCCTGCTGCACACGGGATTGAACGCCACTTTCGCTTTTTCCATACTTGGATTTTTGCTCCACGCCGCAGCTGTGTCCTCCCAAAAATTGGATGATACCAACCCAGTGGTGACCACCAACTTTGGCAAGATAAGGGGGATTAAGAAGGAACTTAACAATGAAATTTTGGGGCCCGTTATCCAGTTTCTCGGGGTTCCATACGCTGCCCCTCCAACAGGGGAGCGCCGCTTTCAACCTCCTGAGCCTCCATCTCCCTGGGCAGACATCAAAAACACCACCCAGTTTGCTCCAGTGTGTCCCCAGAACATTATAGAGGGCAGGTTGCCTGAAGTCATGCTTCCCGTGTGGTTTACTAATAACTTGGATGTAGTTTCAACCTATGTGCAAGATCAGAACGAAGACTGCCTCTATTTAAATATCTATGTCCCAACCGAGGATGGTGAGTTAATAGCAGGCAAAACAGGGAGATCTTTTTATTTTCCTGTTCTACTTTCTAACAGTATTAATTCACGTGTACTGGTAGCATGCATGGCTCTCTCTGTTTGCATGCCAGCTTACTACATGTGTGCATGCTGCTTTTCTCTGTGTGCATTTGTCCTTGCTTTTTGATTTTTATTTTCTTTAAATTTCTTTCTTTCTTTCTGTCTACACTCATTTTTTTCCCCCCCACAGCACGTGTAATTTTTAGGTCAAAATTGGTGCCTAATTCTCATTGCCACCCACTGACTTCTGGGAAGATGCATCAACATCTTTTCCATTGCATGTGCAGGCACAACAAGTTGAGAATCTTCCGCACCTAATAAAGCAGGTCATATTTAAGTTAGATAGTGGTGTTGCATGCTCCTACTGTCTGTGACGGAGCTCCATGTTATTTTCTAGTCTTCTATTCATTTTTCAGTCAAAAGAATATCCAAGGAATGTGCCAGAAAACCCGGCAAGAAAATTTGTAGAAAAGGAGGTATGTATAAAGTGGACCAAAAAAACAAACAAACAAACAAAAATGCTGGGGGAGAGATCGAAACCTTGCAAAAGGAGAAGGAATAATACAGGTGAAAGAGGCTGATTGCTGGTGCTGTGAACTGTTAGGGATTGTCTTGTCCTGGTGGAGAGGTGTTTAAAGAGAGGTCTGTGTATGACAGATGAGAAGATAATGTTTGTAAAGCCAGGACCCAGTTGCACCTGAGCATCTCTGCCTGGCACTCTCTGCAGTGACGGTGCTGGCAGCTTCTCTCCTGGCCCCCAGGCTCTGGGCAGTGCCTGCAGTGGCACCAGGGGATGGGATGGTGTGTGTGGATGCAGAGGAGGGAGCTCTGTGCCCTGAGATGGGCACTGCCACCACTGGAGGGGCTGGCACAGCCCACAGCTCTCCCTTCCAGAGCTATGGCATAATGGCCGGGAAGCACTATAGCAATCCAGGGCTGAGACCTGCACTGGCTTTCTCCAGGATATTCCCTGTTTTCTTGGAACAGGGTTAACTTTTCTGGAGTGTAGATGTGAAAGGTTTTTTTCTTTTTCGTTTACGCGCTTCTAAAAGTGCTTCTTTGATTTCTTTTATTCTGTGATTACAGCTCTCTTTGTCAAAGCCCAAAAACTCTTAATAGGGGTGTAGGGAACTGTTAAAATATTGTGACATGGTACTTTGGGAGCTAGACTGCTTTTGGAAGCTTTGGAAACTTGGCTTCTCCCCTTTCTGTGTTAAATACTATGGAAGAGTTTGCAGATTTCTTTGTGAATATTTGCAAATTCCTCAAGCAGTTGACACGCAACAGAGAAGGTCTATTTTGGTACTCATTCAAAGGAGGCATTTGGTGCTAGTTTTGAAGTACTAATTTTGTACCATGCATGTTCATTTTTGCATCAAATGATTTTCCTTTAGTGTTTTCTTCAAAATAATGTGTTACCTTAGAGCTGGACTACATGTGAATTAGAATGCTTTTTGGGGTAAACAACATGCACAGTTGTCTATTAGCTGTAATCCATTTATTCTTTATCCTGTTATTCCAAAAGAAACACATTTTAGGAAAGCACATAGCAGAAATGTTTAGAGCTGGGCAAAATGTAACTCTTTAAACTCTGCATTAGGTTTTTAAGGCAGTATCCAGGCTCTAAATGAGGGTGGCCTTGTTCCCAAGGCTTTAGCTCTTACAGCTCCTAACTGCTGGTTGCAGCTAGCTGTCAATTATTAATTGTTAATTGTAGTTGCTCAATGCATGCTTTTTTTGAGATGTCAAAATCCACTTTCAGTGACTTAAATCAATTTGTGTTTAAAGTGTCAGGCTTTGAGGCATCCTCTGTTTTCTGTTAGGGAATTTTTGCTTGGTGCTGTAAAAGTACAATTGGTTAAGCTGGGTTCCCAGAGCTGGAAATGAAGATAATCAGGGTACTGTGAGCAACGTCACTTCTTCACACATCATTCAAGTTAGAATAACTGCTGTCATTTATATGCATTCAATTAATGTGCAGTGCTGCAGCAGTTATTACGCAGTTCATCAAGCGTGTGTAATTAGCTGAGCAACTTTCACTTCCTATCACCCAGACGCTGATTCACAAAGTCATAAATAAAGATGCAGATCCCCATCATTGTTCTCGGAGAGCATCTTTCATATGAGAGAGTATTAAAATAAAAATAATCAGAAAAATAGCAAAAGTCAAGGGAGGGAGAGCCCAGTAGCTGAGAAAGTCGTGCTTATTGTCCTGTGGGCCTGAAGGAGAATGGAGAGAGTTACTTGAAATTCAGTATGTACCTTTCCACTTAGATTCATTGCACACACAGCACAATAAAAAGCCTACTTCTTGCTGTTGACAAGTGCAGAGAGCTCCTGAATACCTTCAGCTGGGCAGCTGAGATATCTGTGGTAATGTCTGTTCTCTGAGTAAATCTCACTCTACTCACCTGTGCAAAACCTGAGATTTATCCTGGGCTGGGATTGCCCCCATGGCCAGGGGCAAAAGGAGTTGCAGGAAAAAGCTGCAGTAAAGTCACAGCAACCGAGGAGCGCCCACAGTTAGGAAATGGCATCATTTTTTATATCAGAAAGAAGAAAGGCCCAACACTCTCTCTTATGCTGGATTTTTAGGTCACAGTCATAGCATCACAGTGATGAAAATTATTGGAAGGAGAAGATCTGGAAATCAGAGGCAGACTCTTACAGCATCTTTTTAATTCATAAAGGATATGTAAGATGAAAGTGATTGAAGCAGCAACCATATGCTACCCTTACATGTGGTTTGATTCCTTCTTACCACATGAAATAGATTGAATTAAATAAATTAGTATTTATACTTAATTGTCAGCTGAGGGACATTAGAAAATTAAAAATTTTGAAGAACAGGGAGCAATCTGATTAAAATAGATGTGGAAATGAAAGGAGTTCTAGCCATGAGTCATGCTGGAGATGGTAATGAGCATTATATCCATGACCTCCTGTTGGGATTTGGATGTGCCCACCGCAGAGACTGCAGAATGATAGGCTGAAGCTGGGTGAAAAGAAATGACACAATTCAGCATGTTTTTTGCAAAACATGAAGGCATGTATTCCAGTTACTTGTCCTTCAATTTACTCATTCAAAAATAAAGAAAGAGCATCTGGTTTTGTGTCTTTTCCTTCAGGTATGTCAAGGTCAGAGGCTGCTAATTCTGTTTTGGGTATGCAGAAACTTGTGTTTGCAAGGGCTGGTTTTGGAAAATCAATGCAAAGGCATCTGAGTAATTTTGTGGGGTTTTTTGAGTTCATTTTCATAACTATATTTTAATAGAACCTGGTTGTATTGTAGGTTATACCATTTTAGTGATTGATACTAATTATATTGTCTATTACCTGGAATTTCCTGAATTTCCTGACAAACCTTTGCAGCATTTCTAGGGATTACCTGAATAGTATTCTACTCTTTGGCATTTTAGGCCTCTAAATTTACCTTATAGTCAAAACACAAATATTTTACTTGTGATCCAGAATGTTTCCTTATCTCTTAGGAGGGCAAGTGCATCCTGCTTTAGCTGCATACCTGTTGTGTTTTAATACTGTATATTAATTTCTTTCCATTGTGACGGTTTGCACCAGGAATTTCCTAACCTAATGACAAATGCATAAAGAAAATTTGGAAAGGATCACTTACATGCCCACTAAAAGAGCCCCCAGGTGTTGTGTGCTCTGCACTTGGGATGACAGTGTGCTCTTTCTTAGGAACCTGTACTAAATCTTTCATGCTGCCTGAAGATGCCTCAATGTGAAAATGTGGAGCTGTAGGTGGTACATCCTCAATGTCATGGAGCCAGGCAGATGCAGTTTTGGATAAATTAGTATTTGTAGGAGATTTAGGTGTAGAATAAGGAAAGAAATCACTTGATCCTTACTTTTATGTTTAGGAATTATCAGTGGCTCAGAGACCGCCCAATATCAGTGACTTCCCCACATGTGGATTCTGTTTCTTATTCTAGTCAGGGCAGTGAATAAATTTTAAATGCGGAGACTCATGATCTGAACTACCTCATTTGAGAGTGTAGGATTAGACAGCTCTATTAATATTTATGCCTCCTAATGGGCTACTTGATTTTCAGAGCAAAGCTCCCCACACCATACTTTCTGGGTTATGGCTGTGGTTACTATGGACGCACGGGAGCAAATGTACATACACACAAAGATATTCATGGAACTGAAACACAAATCACACTGCTGTAATCTCATCCTGCTTTGGTCTCCCTTTGTTTTCAATGGAGAATATGTTACATCAGTTCTGTTTTGTAAGAGGCTCTGATAACCTTAGGGCTTTAAGCTCAGCAATGTGAAATATTCTTTAGAGGACTAAGCAGAAATTTCACCTGTTACCTTGTGTTTCCGTAGAGTGGTTGCTCCAGTACTCCATTTAACTACCCTAGAACTGTTTACTTATCATCAGATCTTGGAAAAGAGCAATTAATAGAACTTGTGCAGTTCCTGTGGACTCCCTTAAGTGAAGATCTTTCTCTAAACCCATTTCAGTTCTGAAATCAACCAGAAAAGGACAAGCTGAGACCTTTAAAATGTGTATTTCCACTGGCAAAGGTTGGCAATTTATTTTCAGTATTCCTTTTTTCTAAAGATGTAATTTAGAAAATAATATCAAAGTAATGGAAGAGTAGATGGTAAATTGTCCGAAATTACTGAAATATTCCTTTCTCTATGGCCATGTGAGTGAAAAATATGAAATCTAAGGTGTGAGCCTCCATCACTGTAGACAGAGCTCTGTCAAAATAAGTTGTGCTGTCAGTAGACTAAAAACATGCCTTTGCAGACAATTGCCAGAGCTCTGGATCTCTTAAGAATGAGTTCCAAACTTACAGAATATTGCTTTGTATGTATTTTGGGGGGCATCAGCCCTTTGAAAGGGTTTATATCTTCATTAGGTGGCTTTGAAGATTCCTAACAAATTATTTGCCTGTAGTATATTTGTATCAGTAGT